CAGCAGAGACCGCAGCAGCAGCAGGCAGCATAGACACACGGTTGCCGTTGCTACGTCAGATAGAGTAGCTGCTGCTGCTGCTGCTGCTGCTGCTGCTGCTCGCGGCCGCTGTGACCACCATGCTGCTGTTGCAGCTGCTGCTGCTGCACAGCCTGCAGCAGCAGCAGCAGCAGCCACAGCAGCAGCAGCAGCAGCAGCAGCAGCGGCGGCGGCGGCTGCAGCACAAACAAAGGGAAGCATAGTGTCCCCTGTGCTTCCTAGAGGGACTCTTCATCTCCATGGAGAGCAGCAACGCCAGCAGCAGCAGCAGCAGCAGCAGCAGCAGCGCCTGCAATCGCAGCAGCAGCAGCAGCATCATCATCATCAACTGCAGGCGCATCCGCAGCAGCAGCAGTACCTGCATTCGCAGCAGCAGCAGCAGCAGCAGCAGCCAATTCAGTTGCAGCAGCTGCAACTGCAGCAGCAGATGCCGCAGCTGACCTACATACGCCGCAGCAGCATCACCTGCTGCACTCTTCAGGGCAAATGTGTTGTTCTGGGTGTCGCTGAAGAGAAAGCTGCTGTCCCTCCTGCTGTTGCTTCTGCTGCTGCATCTGCTGCTGCTTCTGCTGCTGCTCCTGCAGCAGCAGCAGCAGCAGCAGCCGAAGGCTCAACAGAACGCCTCAAGAGGCAGCAACAGCCCCGCATATTAAGAGCGAGAACTGCAACAGCAAATGCAGCAGCAGCAAATGCAGCAGCAGCAAATGCGCCAGCAATACCTGCTGCAGCACCATCACCTACAGCAGAGGCACATCCACCAGCAGCAACAGCAGCAGCTGCAGCAGCAGCGCCTGAAGCAGCAGCGAAGGTTGCAGCAGCAACGGGGAGAAGGCCTTCAGCAGCAGCAGCAGTAGCAGCAGAGCCTGCGGCAGGAGCAGCAGAACTAACAGCAGCAGCAGCGGCTGTAGAGCCTCCCCGACCAGCAGCAGCAGCAGCAGCAGCAGCTCCAGCACCAGCAGCAGCAAGCCCACATGCGGCTAAGGCAACAGCAGCAAGAACAATAGCAGCAGCAGCAGCAGCAGAAAGAACAGCAACACCTGGAGCAGCAGCAGCAAGAGCAGCAACACCTAGAGCAGCAGCAGCGAGAGCAGCAACACCTAGAGCAGCAGCAGCGAGAGCAGCAACACCTGGAGCAGCAGCAGCAAGAGCAGCAACACCTAGAGCAGCAGCAGCAAGAACAGCAACACCTAGAGCAGCAGCAGCGAGAGCAGCAACACCAGGAGCAGCAGCAGCGAGAGCAGCAACACCTAGAGCAGCAGCAGCAAGAGCAGCAACACCAGGAGCAGCAGCAGCGAGAGCAGCACAAAGAGCAGCAGCAGCAAAAGCAGCGGCAGCAAAAGCAGCGGCAGCAAAAGCAGTAGCAACAACTGCAGCAACAACAACTGCAGCAGCAACAACTGCAGCAGCAGTCAAAGCAACAGCAGCGAAAGCAGCAGTAGGGAAAGCGCCAGCAGCAAAAGCAACAGCAGCAAAAGCAGCAGCAGCAAAGGCAGCATCATCAAAAGCAATAGCAGCAGAAGCAGCAGCAGCGAAAGCAGCAGCAGCAAAAGCAGCAGCAGATGATTGCCCTCGCTATCGATTCGAATTGCCGACAGCAGAAGTGTGCAGCGAGAGCTGCAGCAACAACAGCAACAGCAACAACAGCAACTGCAACAGCAGCAACAGCACCAGCAGCAAGTGCGCCAGCAGCAGCAGCAGCAGCAGCAGCACTCCTCGCAACAGCAGCAATAACAGCAGCAGCAGCAGCAGTGACCACACAATGAAGGCGGGAGAAGCTCTGCCAGAGGAGTCTTCTGCACTAAAGAGCAGCAGCAGCAACAGCAGCAACAGCAGCAACAGCAGCAGCAGCAGCAGCAGCAGCAGCAACAGCAGCAGCAGCAGCAGCAGCAGCCCATCGGCGCAGCGAGGGACCAGCGGCAGCACATGCGACGAAGCAGTTTCCTACAGCAGCAGCAGCAGCAGCAGCAGTTCGTGCTGCTGCGGGGACAGTCCATTGTGGACGAGCGATGAAGAGACACCAGGAAGCCTGCTGCAGCAGCAGCACAAAGACGCAGCAAGTAGATCACCGCAGCAGGAGAAGCAACAGCAGGAGCAGCAGCAGGAGCAGCAGCAGGAGCAGCAGCAGGAGGAGGAGCAGGAGGAGGAGCAGCAGCAGGAGCAGCAGCAGCAGAATGAAGAGGCTGCAAAGCCACCAACACAGCACGAACAACAGCAGCAGCAGCATAAACAGCAGCAGCACTGTGGCGACTCCCCGCAGCATTTGCTACAAGGGCAGCAACAGCAGCAGCAGCAACAGCAGCAGCAGCAGCGCGACAGCCAAGAGCCGCAGCAGCAGCAAGAGCTGCAGCAGCAGCCATACCTATCGCAGCGTGTATTGCGTGATTGCAACAGAGACGGAGACATCGGCGGCAGCAGAAGCAGCAGCAGCAGCAACATCCGAAGCAGCCGGCGCAGATGGAGCAGCAGCAGCAGCAGCAGCAGCAGCAGCACCAGAGGCTTGAGAGGGCTTACCGAGCTGCAGGCAGAGCTTGACTGCTGCAAAGCTGCATGGCAGCAGCAGCAAGAGGCCCTGGAGCACCAGCAGGTGCTGCTGGAGCAGCAGCAAACCACTATGTGTCAGCAGCAGCGAGTAATTCAGATGCTGCGGCTTCGCCTGGCGTCCCTCGAGTTGTCTCCTGCAGCAGCAAGCGCCCGACGTGCTGCTGCTGCTGGCGAAGACAGCAAAGCACAGCAGCAGCAACAGCAACAACAGCGAGTGCAGGAAAGTCGCTGCAGCAGCAGCAGCAACAGCAGGAACGAGAAGGCGGTTGCAGCTCCTTCGTGGGGGGACGGCGCACAAGAGCTGCAGCAGCAGCAGCAGCAACAGCAGCAGCAGCACCAGCAGCAGCAGCAGTGCCTCACACAGTACTTCCGTCTAACAAGCGACAGCAGCAGTAGCAACAGCAGCAGCAGCGGCAACAGCAGCAGGGGCGTTTCAGACGGCAGCATTTGCTGCAGCAGCGGCGACGTGTCTCCCCAGGGCAGCAGCAGCAGCAGGAGCAGGAGCTGCAGCTTGGCCAGCAACAGCAGCAGCACTTCTATTTACGGCGATAGCAGCAGTTCGGGATCTCGCTGCCACAGCCAACAGCATCTGCAGCAGCATGCACAGCAGCAGCAGCAGCAGGAGAGGGAACATGATCAGGAGGGCCAAGTGCAGCAGCAGCAACAGCAGCAGGAACAGCAGCAACAGCAGCAACAGCTCCCATATGGTGCAGGTTGCGAGACGAGTGCAGCAGTAACAGCTGCAGCAGCACCAGCTGCTGCAGCAGCACCAGCTGCAGTAGCGAGTGGAGCAGCACCTGCTGCAGCAACTGCTGCAGCACCTGCTGCAGTTCCTGCTGGTGGTGCTGCTGCTCTTTCAGGGTGGCTTGCAGCGCGGTCTCCTAATGGGTATCCCGCCTTCGCATGCAACCCCGTAGCAGCAGCAGCAGCAACAACAACAACAGCAGCTGCTGCAGCTGCTGCTGCCTTGCCGTGTGTGACACTGCCTCGAATTGTGCTGCCTGCAACACTAGCAGCAGAGTCAGCAGCAGCAGCAGCAGCAGCAGCAGCAGCAGCAGCAGGAAGCATAGAAGCAACGGGACCCGAAGCAAGGAGAGACGCAGATGCTGCAACAGAAACAGCAGCAGCAGAGGCGGCAGAAGCAGCAAATACAGGGACAGTAGCAGCAGCAGCAGCGGCAGCAGAACCCGCAGCAGCAGCAGCAGCAGCAGCAGCAGATCCCTGGCTAGGTCAGTGGCTGCAGCGCCGCAACCGCCATGGGGCTCTCAGTGTCTCCGTTAGCTCCAGGGCCTCCTCTGATAGCGACTGTGAAGCAGCGCAGCAGCAGCAACAGCAGCAGCAGCAACAGCAGCAGCAGCAGCAGCAGCAGCAGCAGCGCGACAGCAGCAGCAATGAGGATACTGCGGCCTCCGCTCTCTTTTGTTTGTTTTCACCTAGGAGAGAATTGCTGCCGCCAGTGCTGCTGCAAAGGGATTATTTGCAGCAGCAACAGCAGCACGGGCAGCAGCAGCAGAAGCAGCAGCAGCAAAAGCCGTAACAGCAGCAGCGGCAAAACCACCATTGGTGGCAGCAGCAGCAGCAGCTGCTGCTGCAGCAGCAGCTGCAGCAAGGATTGTTCCTGTAAGACGAATCCGAGCAGCATCTATCCCTATTTTAGGGAGAGAAGCTTGTGCTGCTGCTGCTGCTACGGCTGCTGCTGCCGCTGCTGCTGCTGCTGCTGCTGCTGAGGAAAGATGCGGGCCCCATAGGGGCCCTGCGGTGCATGCAGCCAGCAGCAGCGCTTGATGCTTAAGTACTTCAAGCAGCTACTGCTGCAGCACCCGCTGCAGTTGCTGCTGCAGTTGCTGCTTCTGTCTTTGTTGTAGCTGCTGATCCTGCAGCGGCTGGTGCAGCCGCTGCAGATGCTGCTGCTGCTGCTGCTCTCTACATTGTTAGCAGAGCGTCAGTTGCAGCAGCAGCGGCAGCAGCATAAGCAGCAGCAGCAGCAGCAACAGGCTCTGTAGGGTTTAGCTACAGAGTCACAGATTCTTTGGGGGGTCGTTCCTTAAACCCTAGACCCTAAACCCTAAACCCTAAACCCTAGAAGTTATTTAGTGTGCAATAAGCTCGGTGCGTTTAAATAAAGAAATACTCTTGACTCTTTATTCTTTTCTTTTCAACTTGAGGTGTACAGACAATATATATATATATAATATATATATATATATAATATATATATATATATTATATATATATATAGTCATAGATAGATAAATAGAGGGCTAGGGATATGCGTATATATGCAAATATCTACGTACATCTATCTGCATGTACACCCGACTCTATATATGAATAAGTATACATATATATATATATATATATAAGAATATATATATAGATATATATATTATATATATATACATATATATATATATACATATATATATATATATATATATATATATTCTTATATTGAAGGATACGTAGATCTGTATGCGCGTATATGCATATATCAGTATACTGATAGCTGCTGCTGCTGCTGCTGAAACTTGCTGCTGTTGCTGCAACGTGTTGCTGCTGCTGCAGCAACTTGTTGCTGGTGTAACCTTCTGTTGCTGCAACTTGCTGCTGCCGCTGCTGGTGCTGCTGCTGGTTTTTTCGCTGTCTAAGGCTTGTTATATATATATATATTTATTTATATTTATATTTATATTTATATTTATATTTATATCTATATCTATATTTATATGTACATCATACTACTCTGTCTCCTTAGGCATTCAGCGTGTCTCTGCTGTCTCCGCGTGTTGTTTCTTTTGTCTCTCTTTTTAGAAGTCTCTCCTCATAACCCTAAACCCTAAACCCTAAACCCTAAACCCTAAACCCTAGGACCGTCTCCTTTGGTGTAACTGTGCTGCTCCTTACGCTGTCTCTGCAAGCTGCTCTCCCTTGCTTATTTTTTGTGTTTTGTTTGCTGCTTTATAATTAAATATAATTAAATATATTTAATTATAAAGCAGAAAACTCTTATTTCTTCTCCTGAGGGGTTGTTGTTTTTAGGTAGGGTTTAGGGTTTAGGGTTTAGGGGTTAGGGTTTAGGGTTTGCCTTCAAATTTTGTCGTTAGAATTATCTCTTTCTATTGTTTGTTTAATTTGCTGCTGTCTATACACCTGAATTAAAGTGAAGGGCTTCCTGCTGCAGTCTCCTTAAGCGTCCCTTCTCTGCTGCTTCAGCCCAATGGTCATTCATACTCCTGCTGCTGCTGCTGCTGCTGCTGCAGCAACTGCTGCTGCTGCTGCTGCTGCTGCTGCGGAGCAGAAGAAGCCTTTTTCAGGTGTCTGCGTGTTATTTCTGTTGTCTTACTCTTTTTTTGCTTGCTTTATTTTGTCTAATTTGCAGATATAAACTCTTTCTTAAGCCCAATGCAACAGTAATAAAGACAAGAGCCTCAGGAGCAGCAGCAGCAGCAGCAGCAGGAAGCAGCAGCAACAGCAGCAGCAGCAACTCGATGCTGCTCTTCTTTCCGCTATTTTACCCTGTCTTGACTCTTTTTTACCTAAAACACTATTCTTTGAGGCTTCAAAGGAAGCCTGAAGACCTAGGGTTTAGGGTTTAGGGTTTAGGGTTTAGGGTTTAGGGTTTAGGGTTTGAGATCCTCCCCCCAAAGAGACCGGAGATGGAACTCCCGTATAAGTCTGCGCCTCGGGGTTGTCTAGATAAAGGAAGTTATGTTTGGGGTTTTCTTTCTTCAGGTAGCTGCTTCTGCTGCTGCTGCTGCTGCTGTTGCTGCTGCTGCTGCTGCGGTTGCTGCTGCTGTCGCTGCCGATGGGTTCCTTGCTGCTGTCGCTGGAGTTGTGCTGCTGCTGCTGTTTCTGCTGGTCTTCTCTATCGGTTTACGCCAACTGTTTTGTGTTTGCTGCTTCTGCTGCTTCTGTTGCTGCTGTTGCTGCTGCTTCTGCTGCTTTTGCTGCTGCTGCTGCTGCTGCTGCACTGTGGGGTGTCATTGCCTAGTGTGGGGCCCGGTCAGTGTGTGTCTTTTCAGTTTTTAATGTTTCTTCTGCTGCTGTTCTTGCTGTTGTAGCCATTGCTGCTGCAGCTTTTGCTGCTGGAGTGTTTACTGCTGCTGCTTCTGCTGCTGCAGCCGTTCTAGTTGCTGTTGCTGCTGCTGCTTTGACTTCCTTAAGCATGTCTCCGCTGAGCAGCATGAGCAGAAGCAGCAGCAGCACGAACAGCATCAACAGTAGCAGCCCAAGTAGCAGCAAAAGCACTATCTGCAACACCGAAAACAACACAACAACAACAACAGCAACAGCAGCAGCAGCAGCAGCAGCAGGTGCAGCAGCAGGTTGGTGTTTTGCTGCTTTGCTGCAGGAGACACTGATAATGTAGAGACAACGGGGGGCTTAACAAGAAGAGTAAGCCTAGGCATAGAAGAGATTCTTTCTGAAGATGCATCGCCAGCTGCTTCATTTGAGCTTGCTGCTCCTCCAGCTGCTGCTTACGAGTTTGCTGCTGCTCCTGCTGCTCCTGCTGCTCTCCCCGATTTTGCTGCTGCAAAAGAACAAGAAGATACAGAGCAATGCGCTGTTCAAGTACTGCTTGCTGCTGCCACCAGCAACAGCAGCAGCAGCAGCAGAAGCAGAAGCAGAAGCTGCAGTAGAGACTATAGCATCAGCAGCGGCATTGGGAGCAGCCCCGATGCTGCTGCTGCTGCAGCAACAGCAACAGCAGCAGCAGATATAGCTGCTAACGATATTCCTGCAGCAAAAGAGAGGCAGCAGCACGAAGATCTCTACGAACCCAACCAAGATGGTGTTGTTGCTGCTGATACTCCTGCTGCTGCTGTTGCTGTTGCTGCTTCTGCTGTTGCTGCTGCGCCTGATGGCAATGCTGCTTCACAGGAGCAGCAGCAGCACCAGCAGCAGCAGCAGCAGCACCAGCAGCAGCAGCAGCAGCAGGCGAGAGCTGCTGGGCTTGAAGCAGCTTTGATGGTGTGGGGTGACAGCCTCGAGGTGTATATGCAGTCGCCTGCAGCAGAAGAGATATACACTGGCAGCGAAGAAGAGCCTTCGGCTGTACATGCAGCTCTGGGTAGCAGCAGCTTCTTGGGGCTAGAGCAGCAGGAAGCAGCTTTCCTCGCCAGCCCTGCTGCTGCTGCTGCTGCTGCTGCTGCTGCAGCAGGTGGGGGCATCGGCAGCATCGGCAGCAGCAGCAGCAGCAGCAACTGCGAGTTAGATGGGTGGCTGTCTTCTCTTCTTCAGCAGGATCAGGGAGTGCAGGAGCGGTGTATATTTCTGCGACAGCAGCAGCAGGAGCAGCAGCAGCAGCAGCAGCAGCAGCAACAGCTGGAGCAGCAGCAGGAGCAGCAGCAGCAGCAGCTGCTGCACCCGTGCGGCTGCTGGCCCTTTGCATGCGTTGAAACCTGCGGCTCTCAGGAAGCAACACGCTGCAGAGGAGACATAATTTTAGGATCTCCTCCGTTGTTGGGTTGCTGCTGCTGCATTGGTCAGGGAGAAGCAGCAGCAGCACCTGCTGCTGCTGCTGCTGCAGCAGCTGCTGCTGCTGCTGCCAAAGCACCTTCTGCTGCAGCTGCTCTGCATGCAAAGACCGTCGCCGCAGCTGCAACAGGTTGCTGGCTAGTTAAGCAGCAGCAGCACCAGCAGCAGCACAAGCAGCAGCTGCAGCAGCAACAACAGCAGCAGCAGCAGCAGCAACAGCAGGTGTACTTGCGCCCGTTGACGGACGCAGAAGCTTTTGTCTCCTTTCCTTCGTTGTCTCCAAGAGACTTGCAAACAGACATGTGTAGCTGCTGAGCAGCAGCAGCGGCAGGATCAGCTGCAGCAGACGTTGTTGTCGCCGTACAGTGCAGCAGCAGCAGCAGCAGCAGCAACAGCGGCAGCAGCAGCAGCAGCAGATTTGTTGGGTTTTTGTTTGTGCTGACGGCAAAGGCCGTCTCCTTGGCGTTGCAGGTGTTGAATTTGAGTGCCCGTATAGCTGCAAAAGCAGCAGCAGCAACAACAACAGCAGCAGCAGCAGAAACAGCAGCAGCAGCAGAAACAGCAACGGCAGTAGGAGTAACAGCAGCAGAAGAAGCATAAATTTGTCTTGAATATTTATTATTTTTGTTTGGAGTCCCCCTTTATACAGTTGCAGCGCAGCACCAACAGCAGCACGGCCCCAGAAACAGCTGCAGCAGCAGCAGCAGCAGCAGCTACAGCAGCAACAGCACAGCAACAGCACAGCAGCAGCATAGCAGCAGCAGCAGCAGCAGCACAGCAGCAGCCGTGCATCGGCTCTATGGAGGGCGTTGCCTTCATTGTCTATCTTGTTTCTTCGCTTCATTGGAGTGTACGTACACCTCAGCGCAGAAGTGAAGCATTTGCAACGGATGGCTGCAGCAGCAGCAGCAGCAGCAGCAGCAGCAGTGGCAGCGGCAGCAGCACCCAGTGGTGATGGTGTCAGTGAGTTGGATTCTCTTCGCAGTGTTTGTTTGATGCAAAACTTGTGGATGTTGCAAACCCTAAACCCTAAACCCTAAACCCTAAACCCTAGGCTTCATTGTCTGCTGCAGCGCAGCAGCAAAGCTGAGCTGCAACGGGGCGGTTTACATTTCTCCCCCGCACTGCAGTCGCAGCAGCAGCATCAGCACAGCAGCAGCAGCAGCAGCACAGCAACAACAGCAGCAAGACAGCAGCACGACAGCAGCAGCAACACAGCAGCAGCAGCTGCACAGAAGCAGCGTTGCTGCGGGGTTTTGCCGCGAGCTACGTGCTGCTGCAAATAGTGCTGCAATGTATATACACCTCATTATAAAATCCAGTGTATTGTAGCTGCAGCAGCAGCAGCAGCAGCAGCAGCAGAAGCAGCAACGCTAGCAGCAGCAGCAGCAGCAGCAGCCACCACTTGCGCTGCTGCTGCAGCAGAGACTTTGCCCCCTTACTCCACCGAGGCTGTGTCCTCTGCGCATGCAAGCAGCAGCTAAGGCAGCAGCAACTGCTGCAGCAGCACCTTCTGATGCTGCCTCTAAAGCTGCTGCAGCAGTAGCAGGGAGAAACAGCAACAACAGCAGCAAGCAGCGGCATCGGACTAAGAGGGGTAGCGGCAGCAGCAGCAGCAACAGCAGCAGAGCTGCAGCAACCGTGAAGATAGGAGCAGCAGGGCAAGACACTGCTGCAACGGCGGGAGACGCAGCAGCAGCAGCAGCAGATGCAGCAGCAGCAGATGCAGCAGCAGCTGCAGCAGCAGCTGCAGCAGCAGCTGCAGCAGCAGCAGGAGTATAGGAAGGGCTGCAGGTGCTTGGCAGACACGGGACCAACACTACGCTAGCAGCAGCAGCAGCAACAGCAGCAGCAGCAGCAGCGGCAACAGCAGCAGCAGCAGCAGCAGCGGCAACAGCAGCAGCAGCAGCAGCGGCAACAGCAGCAGCGACAACAGCAGCAG